ATCTCCCCCACACAGTCAGGGCGTTAAAAGAGGGGAAAGCAGGAGTTCCCACTGAGAAGAGAGGGGCCCACCAGCAAACAGCCTTTCTGCTGAGCCCAGAGGAGACCCCAGAGAAAGCCTGTGCAGGAGGCTGGGTGCTGCACCTCCCTAGCCCCATCTGCACAGGGCTTTGGGGCCCTCACTGATGAAGAGTAGGTCTGCTCTGGTGGCTCACTCCTGTGAGTGGTATCCCTTGGCACTGGAAACAGCCATTTCCTGGCCAGATTCTTAGAGTGCAATGAACAAATGAATTAATTAACTACTGCTGTGTTCCCCATCAGAGAATAGTGTTTTTGATGTATGTGGTAGCAATGGGTGGATTGCCTTTCCAAGTCTATGTCCATGAGGACTTCTCGTTTTCTTGTAACATATGCATGTTGTTTATAGCGTGGTTGGGACGCAGGCCTTCACTAATTTCCTCATTTGTTCCCTTCTGTTTTCAGTTTAGAGAAGAAGTGTGCACAGAGTTGTATATGAATGTGCTGAAGTGTGCTTGGGTGACAAAGCTTGTGCTGTGGTGTCTGTAGGAAAAACAGTCATTGTGAAAAGAGCAAACAGTAAGAAATATGTCTGCAGATGTGCTGTGAATTCCAGCCTGTAAACCTGTGATTTGTCTGGTTATTTTTTCAGCAGTACGTTTCAAAAAACGTAATCTCCAGTGAGCATGCCGTTGAGCGAGAAACAGAGACTTCGTTTTCCACAAGCCACTACACCTCAACCACACATCACTCCACGACAGTCACCCAGACACCCAGCCACAGGTACTGGGGTGGGGACACAAACTGCACCTGCACCTATCCAGACATTGTAAACCCAGAAAATATATGCTCCCTCTCATATGGTTTTAATTTTATGGTGTGATGGTCTTCGAAGTCATGTCTAACTGATTGTCTTTTTAGGTAGCTGAAAACAGTTTTGCTCATTGAATGGCATTCCAGTAGTGATATTGGGAATTTTAATATAAATTTTAGCATGAATTTGTATGGATTTTGGTTGTGATTTCTAGTGTGAATTTTCAGTGACAACAACTCTTTTGTTTTAAAGAGTGGTCACTGCTCCTGATGGCTGGAAACCCTCCTTCTCCTCCCCTTTACCCAAGCATGCATAATCATCTTGCTGCACTTGGCTTAACACAACTCGCAAAATGCTGGAGCCCCAGTTCAGAAGAACCTTCTAGTTTCCTCTCACAGTTTCTCCTAAACCCCTCCTAAACTGCTGGTCCACATTCTCCTGGTTCGCATGCAAAACCAAACCACCGTCTCATGCCTCCCTTTCTCTCCTTCTCCAGTTGGAGTAACGGCCACACCGAGAGCATCCTCTCTGAGAGCCGCTCTGTGCTGGCGAGCTCTTCCATGGAAAACAGCCGGCACACCAGCCCCGCGGGGCCTCGGGGACGCCTCAACGGCATCGGCGGCCCACGGGAGAGCAACAGTTTCCTCCGGCATGCGAGAGAGACCCCTGACTCATATCGAGACTCTCCCCACAGTGAAAGGTACTGCAACCATCTGATTCATAAAGAGTGGTTTAACATCTTCCTTTCCTGCCTTTTCCAGATTGCAGGCAGCGAGTCACATTTGGATAAGGTCCACCAAGGACCTTATGAGGATAAGGTCCACTTGTCAGAAATTTTGACTGGAAAGTACACAGTTTGCAAGCCAAGAGAAGCCAGGCCATTATTAAATCAGGAGTAATTACAAGCAAAGCCAGCTGGGAGTTTTCCAGCAAAATAATTTTTTCCCAGAAAAGGCTGGTACATTGATACCTATGGTGTGCCTTGAAATAGATTGGTTGAAAGAAAGCTTTTACTGGAAAAGTCTTCTCACCATCAAAAACTCTCTTCAATATTCTCAGTCTTTATTTTACTACTCTGGGGCCATCTCATGCTTTTGAAATAAAAACCCAGCCCAGGGTTTTGATCCCAGCAATCAAGAGAAGACAAACCATTACTGGATCGGTTCTTTGTACACTGTGAAATTGCAAGGAGTTTGATCTCGTGGGAAGTCCTTGACATCAAAAATATAGTCAGACAGACCCCAGGAAGACTGATTGGTATAGGAGACATATTGTTGGTTTCCAGAAAAATGACTGTGCAAGTGGAGCAGAAGTCATTTGCATGGTGTTACCACCACTGCACAAAGAATTGTGTATCAGCAGGGCAATGAACCATGGCTGCGAGCTCTCCAAGTGGGACCATGCTAAGCATCATGAATCCAGCCCTCTTCTTGCTGTACATTTCTTGTGAGAAAGCAACTGTAATTTGCCATGGAATTTAATTTTCAGGAAATGTGGCTCACATGACATAAACAGCCATGGCCCCAATCCAGGAGAGCACTTAAACACATGATTAACTTTTAATCATGTGAGTAGTCCCACTGAAAACAGTGTGATTACTCATATGGGTAAAGCTCAGCATGTACTTAAGTGCTTTGCTGGATCAGGCCCTGTGGCAGTAAATATTGTGTTGTCTTTTGCTTGGGATCCATGTGGGTTGCACTGCCACAAATCTGCAGAGGATGTACGTTATACCTTAGCATACTGGGGGCTTTGCAGGTAAAGAGCAAAGACAGTTTGCCCAATTTCTTGATTTCCTTGAGTAGCTGAAGCAGCGCTATGATATAAACTTTGTATATTTTAGGGGGGAAAGAGCAAGGTGTGCCTTTCCATTTCAATTAGGAGGAAGACGGCTTTTCATAATTTACTGCATTTCTTGAAGATTACATTACAGAGGAGAAAGAGCAGCATTTCTGCAGGAATTCACCAGGCGCTGTTGGCTTAGCCTGTGCCTTAGATTCAGAATACAGAATATATTTCCCTGGGCATTGAATTAGGCCTCATCTATTTTTAGCATGCAGGAAATACATGGCAGATTATTTCTTAGAGATGGATTGCATGTATGCATGTGTATGTAAGGGATAAAATGAGAGTTATTTGCTACTAAAATGACTCTGAAACATAAAAGAATGTGCAAGCTAATGAACGGTTTCCTGAAGCAATCAAACGTTGCTGTGCAGTAAATTAGTAAATCATGGCTGCATTCCTTCTACCCTCCAGTCCTCTGAAATGCTTAAGAAATTTGAAATAAAATCAGAATAGACTTTAGCAGACTGTGTCACATTCTTCCATTGGAACCCGTGACATGAGTGGAGTCATCTCTGATTTTGAAATTTGAATTTTTGAAATACCATCTCTGCTGCAGAGGCTGGATTATATGATGGAGTTAGCAGTGTCTGTCTAGCTAATGTCTGTCAACAGAGCGTGGATACACTCTGAGCCCCTTTCAGTGCACCAGCTTGGTACACCTTGTTTGCCATAAGGAGGATTAAAACTACTGCTTTTTAGCCTTCCCTTTGGGATAGGCTTGGGATAGAGCTGCGGATGTTTAGCTCTTCTGTATCAGCTCAAAGACAGTAGTTAGGAAAAACTGTCCCATTACAGTGTGTGAAAATATACCAAAACTGTATAAATGCAAAATGTTATGCATGTATGAATGTATGAATACTTTTACTGTGATGGAAGAGAATAGCACTGAATACATTCAGCAAACTTTGATCTTCCTGACACGCTGGAGTTCAGCTAACCTTGTTCCATTAAGGCACTATGCCCACTGCCATGTCAGCTGGGGAAGTAGAACGATTCAAAATTGTTAAAATGATGAAAAGATCACTAATGTGTGGGAGAAAAAAATAAAAATATTTTATTCATTTAATGCACAGACCTACCGATTCACCTTTGCTTTCTCTGATGGCTAGTTTGATTAATTCTTGGTGACTAGCTCGATTAATTTCCATGCCTAACTCCAGGATTTTTGTTAATTTTATTAATTTATTAATGTTCTGTTTCTCAGTTCCTGTAAGTCTGTGTACATCTATTGAAACCTTTTTACCCTATATCACATCAGTTCAGGATCTGTCCTTGTCTGTCTGATAACTCTGTTTTATTCAAGAGGAATAAGTGAACTGAATCAAGCAAAGTTGGATAAGAAATATGAATTCAGTTTTTTTTTTTCATAATTTTGGACTCAAATAAATAAATCACTAATGAAAAACTAAATAACTTCATCAACCATAGCCCAGCGTCCCATTGGGGTTCTTATTGTGTGAGAGCTTCGAAACATTTTAAATTAGGACACAGCTGAAATTCAAGCAGGTGAACTTTGGATAAGAGGGAAAACAAAACCAAGCTGTGCGAAATGTCTAGTTGGGCGCTGTGCCTTTGACCAAAGATTTTCAGGCAGACCCTGCCTGTCAGGAAACAGCATGACTTCATAGCATCTCACAGAGTTGTACTAATTCAAACCAGCTGAGAGTCTTACATTTTTTGTCTTCTTCCCCTGAAAAAAAAAAAAACTCTATGATGGCACTGGAGTGCCCCTTTCAAAAATCGCCTTCAACCACTACACTTCCTACAAGGAATTGTGAAGGGATTGGGGCAAATTTTGCAGAGAGAAGCTAGATAGCCCTCTGTGTCAGCACTTGTTCCCACAGGAGGGCGGATTATGCTTCATATTTAGGTTTATGAAGCTATAGCTCAGCATTTGTGTGGAGTTTGCATCCCGGTCCCCAGCAGAACAGGCAAGGAAACCCTTGCCAATATGCAATAATGCCAGTAATAATAACAGTGCTAATAATAATAATAACATTAATCCTCCAAAACCTGAAGGAAAACTCAAAAAGATCATATTGCATTGAGGCAAAAGCTGGCATTTAAAAAGAAAAAAAAAAAAAGAAGGTCTATTCCATGTTGTTTCAAGACCAGAACAGTGTTGCAAGGCATGGCACACTCCATGAAGATGGTTTAATGAGTGTTCAGGCAGAGGCTTATTACAATTTGCCAGGGAAGGGACCTCCGGTTGCTTTTGAAAACTGAGCCCAGTGAGTTTCAGTGTCAGGGGGACCACCTCTATCCTTTAACCTCCCTACACACACACTGGATCACTGAGCCTCAGGCTCGGGCAGAGCAGTCATGTTTCTTTGTCCAGGGGCCAAGACAACCAGCCTACAAGGCATGGAGCAGTACAGAGCTGTTGGGACAATGCTGCAAATCCTTCTCCAGCTGGTGATTAAAACTGGCAGAATCCAGCCTTATTTTTTTGGACAAATAGTTTGCTAAGGCTGAGACAGTCTAGTTGCTGGAGGCGAAGGGAGTGAAGCCCCACAAGGACTGTCCCTTGGTTCCCTGCCTTTCCTTTCCTCCTGTTTGCTTCCATGTGTCTCTAGCCCTGGGCAAATACTGGCCTGAAGTGCTGCTGCCTTTTGTTTCTGTCTGCCCCCCAGGCTCTGAATCCCATTCCTGGCTTTATTCCAGTAAATTATTCTGGCAAATAATCATCTCCCTGGCTCATCCCAGACAAACTGACCTGGCAGGTTTGCCATGCTCCTTTTGCTCTCAGGTTTTGTATCTCAGAGTACCAGAAGATAGTGGTTTCTTAGGCTCACATGCTGTAGGACTCATAATGATTATCTTGGGGTCACCAGCTTCTGTGAGGATGCTAGAGATCCCAAGAGAGACTTCTGCCTCTTCCCTCCACAGTCCACATGAGCGGCCACATTTATGTGTCACCACCTAGGTGACTGCAACCCCTTTTTGTGTCTTTTCTCAAGGTATGTCTCAGCTATGACCACACCAGCTCGCATGTCACCTGAAGATTTCCACACGCCGACTTCTCCCAAGACTCCCCCTTCCGAAATGTCTCCGCCGGTTTCCAGCTTGACCATGTCCGTCCCTTCGGTGGCGGTGAGTCCCTTTGTGGAAGAGGAGAGACCCTTGCTGCTGGTGACGCCGCCGCGGCTCCGGGAGAAGTATGACCACCACCTTCAGCAGTTCAACTCCTTCCACCACAATCCTGCCCACGAGAGCAGCAGCCTGCCGCCCAGTCCTCTGCGCATCGTGGAGGACGAAGAGTACGAGACCACACAGGAGTACGAACCAGCACAGGAGCCTCCAAAGAAACTCGCCAACAGCCGGAGGGTAAAAAGAACAAAGCCCAATGGCCACATTTCCAGCAGAGTGGAAATGGGCTCCAACACAAGCTCTGGGAGCAGTAGCTCTGAGAGCGAAACGGAAGACGAGAGAATAGGCGAGGATACACCTTTCCTGAGCATACCGAACCCCATGGCCACGAGTCTGGAGCCGGCCACCGCGTACCGGCTGGCCGAGAGCAGGACTAACCCGGCGAATCGCTTCTCCACTCCGGAAGAGTTGCAAGCAAGGTTGTCCAGTGTAATAGCTAACCAAGACCCTATCGCTGTATAAAAAAAACATAAACAAAACACATAGATTCACATGTAAAACTTTATTTTATATAATGAAGTATTCCACCTTTAAATTAAACAATTTATTTTATTTTAGCAATTCCGCTGATAGAAAACAGGAGAGGAAAAAAAAAACTTTTATAAATTAAATATATGTATGTACAAATGTGTTATGTGCCATATGTAGCAATTTTTTACAGTATTTCAAAAATGGAGAAAGATATCAATGGTGCCTTTATGTTATGTTATGTTGAGAGCAAGTTTTGTACAGTTACAATGATTGCTGTCCCATAGTATTTTGCAAAACCTTCTAACCTTTAGTTGTCCTAGCTTTTGTGCACTGCATTATAATGACTGGATGTATGAGTTGCAAGAATTGCAGAAGTCCCTCTGTTTGCTTGTAGTAGAATTCCCAAAACAAAAAGCCCTATAATGGCACTCCCACTCTACCCACCAGAAAAACACAAAAATACAAAAAAAAATCAAAAAAGGTAAAAAAGAACAAAAACAAGTTTTCTTCTATAAGAAGTTTTATTTGCTTTTCGTATATGAAATGAGTTTTGTCTGCTCTATGCCAGCCGAAAGGTTTGCTTCATTGAGCACGGGGATAAATGTAGATAAAGCAGCATGCTACTATTAATTACAGCAGGATAACAAAAAACCTGCATTAAATAATGTTACTTATAGAAAGAAAGTAATACTGTGATTTTAAACCAAATATATTATTAATCAGAGGTCAGCTTATACTCACTAGGAGCTGTCATTTCATTATTTTCCAAATATTACTTGTTCTAGTTATCCCTTAGGAAATGGGTTCATGTTAGCTGAGGCTTTGAACCCAATACTCTATTTAAAAAAAAAGAAAAAAAAAAAAAAAGGATTTCTATTAGTTTAAGTTAATGGGGCAAATACTATAGCAGATATCTGTAACCAAACAAGGAAGAGATCTAGCTGGAAAACAAATGCCACTAATAAAAGTGCAATCAGTTTTCACCTCTATTTTTAATGTTCATTTTTAATAGATTATTTACCCTTTTGTTTCCCCTCAATTTTCTCCCCTTTCTTCCTCTCCTCAAAAAAAAAAAAAAAAAAAAAAAAAAAAAATTAGAAAACTGACAAGCTTCTAGCAATAACTTGTTAGCATTGCTGTTACAGTAGTAAGAGCCATTCCTGGACACAGAAGTGACTTTCAGGGGAGAACTGATTTGCCGAATGGTTTGAGAGCATACACGGTAGGAAGGACATGGCAGAAGAATGGAGTTAATTTCTAGTCGCCTTTATTGATTCAACTATTTGAGAGGAGAGGAGGCAAGGCTGATGCAAAGCCCATTTATGAAGGCAAGCACACCATGAGGGTCACAGCCGTACTGTGCATAGGTATCTGCTACGGATGTTCATATGACCAGTGATGGCCTTAGAGTCTTGGGCTGGCAATGGACAAAGTGCTGTCAGTACTGCAACGGTTGCACCCTTTCGGATAGAAGCAAATGGCCTCTTTTGCACTGAATTCCTATCAGTTTAGTCAGGGTCACTCTGCCTCTTCTCTTCGTTTGATTTTTGTTGTATGTTCAGTTGGCACAACACAGACTCAGGATTGATGTGGAAAACAAATGTTTTGCCTGGACTCTGGGGATTCTGAAAATGAGAACATATGTTCTACAGGTATTACTGGACTCTACATAAGAGCCATGTCAAGAGAAATTTCAGCCAAACTACACTCATCCTTTGGGCCACGTTCTGGTCCCAGTTAAATGAAGATAAATAAGTCAAGGAAGTTTTGTCAGATGTAAACCAGAGGAGCTAAGGTCTTGACTCAGTAAATTGTTTGAGCATATGCTTATGTTAATCCCAGCAAAACGTATCTTCAGCATGTGCTAGATTCCCATTGACACATCGCGGGTATGCATGAAGTTAGGCATGTGCTTAAGGGTTTTGCTGAACAAGGTGTCCTATCGATTTGGGAGCTAGTGGCAAGGTCTAGTAAATGAAGCTGTTGATCAGGGTGATGAAAATCAGTGAGTTGGTCACTGTATGGGCCAGTGACTGTCATGCTAATAAGAGCGCGGAGGAGTTTATTTGACTGTGAGAACGAGCAGCAAATGAAAATACTTTAGAAAGGGTAGAAAATGATGACAAAGTTGGAAACTAGGATGTCGGTGTAGGAAGCCAAAGACTGGCTAACTCAGTTTTGGCCTACATAATGCCCGAAACAGTACTGCTTGTTTGAGAAGCCTCTGGGAGACTGCAGTTTGTCACCTTCATACTGCCAGGACTCAAGTCCTCTCTTGTCATTTTCCCCTACGTGGCATGTAGTTGACTGCAGCTTGCTTTTGCATTCCCCCAACCCCTAAACAAGAGCCCTCTTCAAATTCCTGATACAATATACTCATTTTCATCTCTTTAATCAAGTCTATCCATTAGACTTGCATTCCCATGCATACCTCCCCAGTCACTCTGCAGCCCAGCAGTATAAGAGGATCGGGTAGACTTTCCTGATGCCTATCCAGCTGCAGAACACAAGTTTCCAGTAAGCTTGTGCCGTTGACTTACCAGAGGCTCTTAAAAATACATTCTTTCAATACAGTCTTTTATATCTCAGATGCTTACAGAACGCTTACAAAACAGACAAGACTGAAAAAGGATGGCAGAGAGAGAAGCAATTTGTCCAAAATCACTCATCTTAGTGGCAGAGTAGAGATTATTGCCCAGGGCATTTGTAATCTCCTCCAGTATAGATCACCCATGGGGTCAGCTCACATTGAGGTGACTGTCACCATCTAGACAGGATGGGGAGGAAATTTACTTCAAAGTGGAGTAAATTATTTGAATTTACCGAAACTGTTATTGACTATAGAGGGCCGACAGAAAAGGGAGGAGCCACTGCATATCTGGAGTTGTACCTGTGACATCTGTTTAGCCTGGCTCTAGCGCAAAATGTCACACCTCTCCTGTTGCAGTGCCTCCAAGTCAAAGTAGTGTCCAAGCTCCTACTCCTTCCCCTACACATGGTAGTGCACTATAGGGTATAAGCTAGCTTGAAAGCTGGGGCCTTCAAATGGACCTAAGACCAAAGAAATACAATTGGGGATCTGGCAGCCTGAGCCCTTAGGTCTTTGGGGAGAACCCAGCCTTACAGTACAATTCATGCAACAGCGAGCAACAGGAGTTTCCCTGGCTTGGCACTCACTGAACTGGGAGCAGAACGTGGCCCCATCACCTCTGCACTTACTTTTAGCATATTGTGGGAATGATAGGCATCCGATTCAGCCAAGTCCTCACCCCAAAGTCAGCAGCTTTATATGGACCCAGGTTCTGCTGACAGGCTGCAGCCAGCCCGTGCTGGGCTTGACACTAGGGAGCAAACTGCACGTAGGGAGCAGAGCCAGCAAGTCCATAAGGGACCGGCCAGCTCCTCTATTGGGGATAATTGCTCCATTTCCCAGACCTCTGTGCTAGGGCCTTTACCCTCGGGCCAGCACTGTGTAATCCTTGCCAGCCTTTGGCTGAGAATCACGGCAAGGAGAAATGTGCTTTGAAGAGGGGTAAAGTATTACAGAGGCTGTGAAGTTACTCAAATTGTTGTGGTTTCCATGTTATTTAACTTAGATAGGTTTTCTCTGTGTGTATGAGTGTGCGTATGTATGTGTGCGTGTGTGTATGTTTATATGCAGAAATTCTCCATGATTAAAAGGCTCCCTTCAAGGGTGCGTAGTTGGAAGATGCCGTGCACAACCCGGCACAGCTTGCCTGTTTAGCTGGTGTTAATCAGTACAGCAGCACACACATTTTCACCAGTGGAAAACTTAATCCTTCCTCTTGGCTCAGCCATTCCCTTCCTCATCTGGGCCACCTCAACAATCCCTGGACTGAGAGAAAAAAAATCACTGACTTTATCAGGAAAACAGTGAATCTCCTTCTCTTTCCAGTCCTCCAAAACAACCCTGCATCTCCCTGCTTCTCTCCAGCCGCCGAATCGTCACACACATCACGAGCAGTTACTTGTGCATCCCGGATAGCAGCTTGTGTTCCCTCAATGGACACATCTCCAGCAGTCGAACATAAGCAAAGCCGCTTCTCAGTCCTGCAGCGTGGCTACATACCAACAACGTGGACTTACTTCTGATTATAAAAAAAAAAAACACACAGTACCTATGAAATGCTGCAGAGAAAAGCAGACAAAGAATACGGCCACATATCATCATTTGTAATTCTCTGCTCTACTGTACATGCATCCTGTACATACTTGGATGTTTTCTTCATCATTTACTGTCTTTATGGATTATGTGTTAAAAGAGGGTCTCTTAGTTTATTGTGTAACACTGTAAATAACATAATGTCCTTTATTATTTATGCATAGTCATCTAACATGCAGAGAAAGTTATCCTCATATTATTTTAAGATATATGTCAAAAATATGTTGCATTTTTCTCTTTGCTTTGAAAAATATTATGTATCCTCTTTTCCCCCCTCTTTTCCTTTAAGAAAAAAAGAATGCTAATTTATTGTTCAGACGAGATAAAGGGGATGTATCTGAAGGCAAACTGTTCAAAGAACATGCCATGGAAGCCACAAGCTACTGATAAACTAAAGAATTTATTATCCCAAATACAAAGCAATAAGTAATTGTTGATTTATTTAAGGTTTTGTTATTCATTTACAGTAAAAGAGGTGCTGGAATAAATTGCTCGTGTGATGTACTGGCCCAGCTGCTCAGCAGACTGTGTCAGGCCACCAGCCATCACCTTTCTGGATCCAAATGCTATTGTAGCAGGTCTGGTTTTGTCTAGCTCCAGAAATTTTTTTTTCTGGATGTTATATGCTCTATGTGCCACATCTCACTCAGTTTTCTAACATGTACCTATGGAGGTCTCTGACAGACACTCTTTGTTTCTAGGTACAAAACTTATAGTTTCTTAAACCAGAATGGTTAAGATTACACTAACCATTACTACTCGAGAGAGGGAATTGTGGCCTGTGGGAGGCCATTATACAAAAGTATCACCCCCAATCCTCAAAAAGAGTCAAAAAGGCAAATCAGATGTTAGGAAGTATTAGGGAACATCATTATCACTTGGTAATAGATGTAGGGCAATGACATGGGCACATGTCTGGGATGGCTTCTGTATATGGGGGGCTGAGGATCTGGGGACTCATCAGCCTGAGAAAAAGACAGCTGAGAGAAGGTGTCATTAAAGGAATAAATGGCTTGCAGTGGGTTGGCAGTGATTGGTCAGTTCACTACCTCTTGCAGCATAGGAAGGTGGGGGAGAAAGTAAAACTAGTGGAGTCCACACTCAAACAGATGTGGTTATATGAGTGGCGCACAGGGAACTTGGAGAACTCCTTGCTACTGGAAATGATGTTTCCTTAGGCCCTAGGGGAACCCACATCTCAAGACAGAGAGAAATCCAGTGAGGATTGCTAAATCCACAGAATCCACAGAAACCTCATGAAGTCTGGGGAATCTCCGAACTAAAAGGTGGAGATTGTATAAAGTGTATCTTTCTCCATCTATCCGACATTGTTGGAGAGTGGACAGTTGATGTGACTGCCCAAGTGTGATATCAGTATTCAAAGTCCATTGCTATTGACAAGGATGAAATAGCATAAGGAAAGCTAAAAGCAAGCCGAAGAGAGGAACATCCCAAAGACATGTCTTGCATGTCTTCTACACCCATCTGTTGCCAGACCCAGTGGAAACATGCGGGTCATATTCCTTCCACCTACCTATCAGCACTGAAGATACTAGGAGGAAGGGAGAAGTGTTATCTGTCAGCCTCCCTTCCCCATTTGCAACAGAGAAGGTGGGTGGGAGAATCAGACATGAGCAGAGGACTGTTGTCCTGTGACAACTTCTCCATCTTGCCACCGCCTGTGGAGGAGTGTGGTGTGAGGTGTTTGGGGTCCTAGCCTCAGCTGAGTGACTTATCA